ATAGCAAGCTCATGATTACTCAAATATATGTTGATAACAATGTTTTTGGTGGAATGCCATACCAGATGGTCCAATATTTTGTCAAACAGATGCAATCTGAGTTTGAGATGAGTCTAGTAGGGGAATTGACTTGTTTTTACTATGCCAAGAACATAGTAAAGAAGTTTGGCATGAAAAAGGTCAGTCATAAAAGGACTCTTGCACTTACTCATTTGAAGCTTTCTAAAGATGAAATGGGATCAGTGTGGACCAAATTCTTTACAGAAGCATGATAGGAAGTTTACTATATTTGACTGCTAGTAGACCTGATATCACATTTGTTGTTGGAGTTTATGCTAGATATCAAGCTAAGCCAAAAGTTAGTCACATCAATCAAGTAAGGAATGTTTTAAGGTATGTGAACGATACTTGTGAGTATGGAATGTTGTATTCACATGGTTCTGATGCCATGTTGGTTGGATATTGTGATATTGATTGGGTAGGTAGTGTTGATGATAGTGAAATTACCTCTGGTGGGTGTTTCTTCTGGGGAAACAACCTTATTTCTTGGTTCAGTAAAAATCAAAATTGTGTATCTCTATCCACAGTTGATGCTAAGTGTATTACAGCAGGAAGAAGCTGCTCTCAACTACTTTGGATGAAGCAGATCTTGAAAGAGTACAATATCAAACAAGATGTCATGATATTGTACTGTGATGACTTGAGTGCTATCAATATATCCAAGAATCTTGTTCAACATAGTAGGACAAAATATATTGACATCCAGCATCACTTTATCAGAGATCTTGTTGAAGAAACATTGATCAGTCTTGAACATGTAGCCACTGGGAAGCAACTAGCTGATATTTTCACTAAAGCCTTGGATACAAACCAATTTGAGAGTCTAAGAGGAGAACTAGGAATTTTCATTGTTGAATAATAATACCAATTATCCTTAATTATGTAGGATGCAAAGAAAAGAAGAGCAGTGTTGTCAAATTTGTGGCTAAAAAGGGGGAGTAGTAGTGGTAATGATAATGTTGATACTGTAAGAAATAAAATGTATCAGAGTGTGAATCACAGACATGATCATTCCTGTCATATGATTTCTTTTGTGTTGCATGGAGGCTTGTGTTGGTGGTGTTGGGATGTTATTATTTTTGTCCAGACAACATTTCATTTGCTATGTCTAGGAGAATGCATTATTCTCTGCAGTTGGTTGTGATGTTTAGGGGGAGTGTGCTTGTGCTTGTGTTTGGTGTTATTGAAGTGTGGTTCTATTGTATGAAATTACATGAGTTCATGTTCATGTATTCTTTTTTGGTGATTTGAGTTTTCTCCTTCAGATGGAGTATTGATTATGTATGACAGGGGGAGCTGCGTATCTGTTTGAACTGTAGCTGCAAAGTTGCAGTTTGTACAAAGCTTACATGTTCTCATGTAGCATGTGTTGTTTTGTGATGTCAGACCAGGTGTCTTGACATTGTGTTGTCTGATGTGTTATTTTGTTTTGATGACATTTTGTTTGGGTTAATGTCTCTTGTTGTCTAGGTTTCTTTGTTTCCATTTGTTTCCGCTGGATATGCCTCTGATGTGTGCTAAGATTGTTTTTGCCAAAAATTTCCAAAGGGGGAAATTGTACGTTTTGTGTTTTTTTTTATTGGCTACGTTTTGGTAAAATAACATGCTGTTAGCAAGATGTTAAACCAAATGCTCTGCCATGACAGTCAGACATCATGTTCAGCATGCTGTTGGGACATGTGCCATGACATGTTATACAAAAAAGTTAGGGTATGACTACTTTGGTATTGTTAATGTGATTTTTGAGTGTGTTCTGATTCACACATATGCGTTATTCATGGGAGTATTTTGTGGGAATTTCTATTATGACAGACTCCGTTAGTTTCCATAAAAAGGATACTTGAGCCTTTTTAGGAAAGTTTGTATTTTATTCATATTATTGTGCAGAAAGCTTTGCAGTGAGTTAAAGTTGATTACTATTGTTTTTGCACCGCAAGAAGCCTAAGTCTATTAGGTCCGAAGGCTATTTAAAGAAAAGACCTAACCCTATTTGAAAAAAGAACAACACGTGAAGAATTTGGGGAATAAGGATTAGCCGTGTTTTGGTTGGTCTTTAGGGTTTAGTGCTTGTTAATTGTATGACACTCATGTATATTCTGATACATTGAGGTTGACTGATTATTCACTGTTAACTGTCCACTCTAAAGCTTTTAAGCAAAAGTGTATTGTTCTTGGTTGAAGCTTTTAAGAAAAACCAATTAATGTCTTGGAAGTGTGCTACTTCTATTGTTTGTTGTTGTTGAATTGGCACTGGGATTGTGACTGATTAGGAAGTGAGAGGGGGATCTCATATCTAGAAGGTGTCTAGGTAGAAGTTGCACAAGATAGGGATTAGGGGAGAAGTTGTAAACGAGGGAGTTTAACTTTGAACTAATATTATCATAGTGAATTTCTTTCCTTGCTTGCTAGCTCCCATATGTAGGTGAGTTGCACCGAACTGGGTTAACAATTGTTGGTGCTAATTTTGCTTTTCTGTCATTTAAACCTCTGCACTTGTATTTGTGTGATCAATTTATTTTGATTATAGTGTTGTGACATCTGTCTCGACATCTGGTATCTGCGTGCCAGAATTTCACACCTGATATCTTCTTTTAGAAGATTCTCTATGCACCTCAGTTTTGCCTTAACAACACTAGTACTTAGTTCTTTGAAAGAATTCTCAATTTCGTTTATTATTTTGAGAATATTGACCCCAACTCTTCACATTTGCTATATATCCCTTGTTAACACCTCTTCAAACCTGACGATTGAGACTTTCTTTTTTCAATTACAAACTAAAAGGGCTTCCAAATCAATACAGAAGACAACATGATCATATCTGAATCTTGGGAGATATTGGACTTTAACAATTGGAAATTTGTTCATGAAGTTGCGAGCACCCTATCGAGACGACATTGAATGTTATCAATATCTTGCCTTCCATTGGCCCAAGTATATTTGTAGCCCTCGAAACCTAGGTCTGCAAACCCACATTCTCCTACAACTTTCCTCTTCCAATTCAATTGACTATTAGATATGCACGATCCTCCCTTATTTTCCTCCTCTGAGAGCACATCATTGAAGTCTAAAAAATATACCCACCTTTCCGCACTCTCCCTGTCCAGCTTCTTAACTAGATCCCATGTTTTCCTCTTGTAATCCTCTTTAGGGTAGCCATAAATCCTAGAGAATAATCATGGTTGATATTCTTCCCCATCTATCACATAACATCCAATGTAAATCTAAGAGTTGGAGAGAATAATAACCTTCAAATTCTCTCTCTAAAGCAAAGCCACACCACTTTCTCTACTCTTCCCACTACCGCTACAATCAACAGCTTGATAGGAATCAAAACGATATTTTCTTCGAATTCTTTGTACCTTAAAATATTTCAATGTGGTCTCCATCAAAAGACCATTGTGGGATTTTCTAAACGCGGAAGCCTCTACAAGGCTTGAACGATATAGGGACTCCTAACCTCCTATAGTTCCAGCTCAAAATTTTCATTGGTGAAGGTGGTGTTAGTCCTCCAACACCATCTCAAGTCCTTTTAATATGTCATTTTCTTTTCTTTCTATCTTGTTTCTCTTTTTATCTCTGCATTCCATGTCATCCAAGGAACCTTCTTTAATAATAACTTTAACTAACTGGCTTTTCTTGTCAGCAAATTCAAGGCCTTTAGCTTGGACTTGCTTCAGCTTCCTCCTACTCTTTCTCTTTCTTCAAGTCTTTCATTTCACCCTCACTTCCTTCTCCTCTTGGTAGTTCCTTGGTAGGTGAACCAGTTACGACTATCGCCCCCAGAGATTCAGCCATAGTTTCTACTTACAAATCTCAACCTTTTTATTTATATTTTCAAACTACAACGTTTGAGGGGCCATGACTGATATGGACTTTCTTCTCCTTGTTTGACTACTATTTCTCCCTCCTTCTCTTTCCTTTCAGACTCACATCTACTTTGTCTAGAAGAAACTTAAAACAGACTTTTGCTACGAGTCCCAGAGCTTGATTCAAGTGGCCTTTGTTCTTGAGTTGATGCCCTTGCTTCCCACACAAGAGTAGAATGTGGATAATCGTTCGTATTTGAAATAGACCCTATATGTTTTCTCCTTGAACTGCACCATGGTTCCCCATTTTAGTAGTTTTTTCAGGTCAATCGTGACTTTAATCTTCAAGAACTTTACATTTCGATGAGCTTCTTTAGAGTCCATTTCTTCAAAGGATCCGAGGATATCACAAATCTTCTTAGCCAATCTTTCTTATCTCGACATTAAATAAAGATCATAAACCATCACCTAAAAAGTGCCAAAATGCAGATCCAATCCTGACGGTTACTCTTCCCCTTGAAACTCGATCAAGAATCAAGATGTTTCGATCAAAGCTCCATAGATCGTTTTGCAACACAAATTCTGGATCTCTCTTCGTTGAAAACTTCAAGAGAAACAAGTTCGTGTTGAGTTCTTATGTCTCTACATGGTTTTTGATTCTCTAAGCTCCCACTATGGTGTTGATGAACACTCTCACATTAAAACTATTTTTTGTCCAAAGTTTTCCAACTAAGGTTCGCTGGAAAACTTCCGCTCTAGAGACTTCGTCGCCTTCCGCCATTACACCCCCTTCTTCCTCCTTTGACAATGAATGGTTTCTCCATTTATCCATGACTAAAGAGTAACCGATTAGACCACTAATCAATTTGGAACTGTAAAAGACATACTCTTGTACAACCCCTGAGAAAACGAGATACAAACCCGCCATATGTAGTGGAGATAAACCAGACAAAAATAAGAGGAGAAAGAAAACGCTGCTGCTAACCCTAGGTTAACGGTGGAGGACAAACACAATACGTTTTAGATAGGATGTTATATCAATATTATTTATGATATCCAATTCTTATCGCAACAGGATGTTAATCCCAATATTATTTATGATATCCAAAATTAACATTAATTTTACAATTTCAGGCAAATAATTCATCCTCGAATCCCACAACTGGCAATAATAGGATACGCAGAGAGCTTATCAAATATTTTTTCTAATGAAATGAGATGCCAATGGTTAGCACATCTTTTGGATGGAAACATTGAGCTGCCTAGTATTAGAGAGATGGAAAAGGATGTCAAAATATGGGAAGATAACATGAAGCAACATACTAAAAACTCGAATTTGAGGTCATGCATTGTTACTTGTGGCATATGGTATAATGATCAATTATGTAGAGACATGAAATGCAATCCCAGAAGAAAGAACAATATTTTTGCAGAGCTTTTTGAACCATATGGACCATCTGATTATAATGGTCTTGTTCGTAAATGAATATTTATTTAAAATCATGTATTTGTGGACACTATGATCTTTTAGTTTTATTGAATATTCATACTCAAATGTGTTGGACCAATAATTTATACGACGAAATCATCAATATATTACAGGTAATTCATTTTTACACTCGTTCACTAAAATCTTATAAACTTAATTTCAGAAGTTATCCATTTTATTTTGAATTAGAAACTATTGGAATACAATACTCAGATGTAAAAAATTTAAAGGCACATCTACAACATGATGTTATTTACAACATGATGTAGTGCAATGGAAGAGTGGGATATGCTAATTTTTGCATATTAGATTTGTTCATAAAGTGAATTAAGAAAAATTGAAGACTTAATATTTTTTTTTGTTTTTTATTTTGTCTTTTTTGTGACATTGTAGTTTATTTTGGTCCTGTATGTTAAAAAAATATCACATTAATCTTCGACTCTTTAAAATATATCCAGTTAATTTTTTGTCTAATGAACGATAAAAGAAAGATAAAAACTAATTCTTAAATTTGTTATTAATAAATACAAATTGTTAATATAATCCGTTTTTAACAGCAGAACAAATAAAATACTAAAATAACATACGAAATTTAAAAAATAAAAAAAAAACTAAAAAAAATATTAAACCAAAATTGAATGAACACTTATTTTCTATCTTCTTAGTTGTACTCAGTTTAGCGTTTATGTTTGAATATATTTAGTTTTTTTTATAAAGATTGACTTTTAAACTTATACTTTTTATCTTATTTGTATATTTTTAATATGAAAACTCATTATAGGTAGGTTTATAAGTAATTTTCCAAAAACATGAAAAAAAATCAATCATTGTATAAAATCACATCTATAGATTTAGAATACACCAATATTATTAAGAATGACCTTTGAATTATTTGTAAGACATTTATAATTTTTGATGCAAAGAAATCAAAAGTGTCAAAAATAAATGATATTAAAGTATATTGATTATTCGAACAATGCAGTGATATATTTATAAAGGATCTACAAAAGCGAGAGCACTATAGCTCTTAGAGGAAGCGGAGACCACCACTACCACAAAAAATCTATTTTATCTCGATTAGAAATGAAGGTTAACCTCCGTTTCGTATGCGAGAAAATGAATGACGTCATGAAATGTGCACCATTATACCCCTCGAACGAGACTCCACTGAGGAAAAAGACTAAATGATAATAGATTTGATCATCGACAACTACAATTTTATTATTTTCAGAACATGATGAAGCGCTCCACATTCTCTCTCAGTTTTAAGTAAAACTGAGATAATGGAGCAGTATTATTTGATAGATTTAATTGAATTAGATAGATACAAATCATAGTATATTATTATTATGCTACAAAGTAATTAAGAATAATTAGAACAGTGTACCTTATAGAATTTGAAAAGTTATCGACGGTAGATTGGGTGAAAGTTTTACTATCCTTATTGTTGTCTACGATTTTCAGAGTATGTTAATTGTAACATCCTAATTTTTCATAATCTAAATAATATATCTGATTAGATTTGAGATATTAACATCGCTAATTATTAAAAACTAAATATTAAAATTAGCCTCTATAATAATTAATTTATCAATTAATTATTCTTTATTTTCATTATTGATATTATTATTCAATTTGAATATCATCGTTTCATTTTACAAACTAAACTTTAAAATTGAAATTAATACTTAAAATACTTAAATTTAAGTTAATTAATTATTCATATTATGTTTATTATTGTTGTTGTTGTTTTGTTATTATTATTATTTTATTTTATTTGAATATTATCATTTTACTCTACAAACTAATTAGTAAATAAAATAATCTTAAATTAATAAATATATCAAACAATTATCCTTATTATTATTTTTATTATTATTATTATTATCATTTTATTTTTATAAAAGAAATATATATCTCATTTTTCTATTAATATCCTACCTGATATTATGTCATGAAACATTAAGATATCAAGCTCACATACTTTTTCATAAATTATTTTCACAAAGTCATACTAGAACATCTAAAAACTATTTAGGTAAGATTAGTAAATATTTGATAAAGACATATTTAATAGCCAGAGTTGAAAAGTTAGAAGGTATGGGGAAAAGAAGATATATTTATATTATTTTAATATTATACAACTAGTATAAATAGGGGTCTTAATTTCCACCCCATTTTCATTAATTCATTCACAAATCATCTTTCTTACCTCTTTATTTATTTCCTTCTCTAGTTTCTTCATATAGCAATATTAGTTTTAGTTATCGAAAGTCTCACGGTGTCGGTTCGTAACTTTTAGAGTTACTTTGTGGTAAAAGTTCTTCTAAAGTTTCAAAGGAGTTTTATACGTCAAAGTTATGCCCAAATCATTTTCATAAGTAATCAGTAAGCCGTTATAATGTTCATTTTATTTTAATTATATTATTTTAATTATGTTATTTATATAAAGATTATTTTAAAATTTCTATGCAAATTTCGTTCGACGTCGAGATATTGAACTTATAAAGTCCAAAATAAATTTTATCATTTTAAGTCGTTATAATGCCCAAATATTATTATAATTTAAATGTTATTAGAAATATACTCTTTATAACTTTCTAAAACTAACAAATCCAAAAGGAGGTATAGTCTAATTTATATTTGACTTTAATAATTATTTAAATATAATGGAGGTTATTATTATATATTTTAATAAATAAATATTTCAAGTTGTAACGGGATTATGTTCAATTAACCATAAATTATATTCTAACTATTTTATAAATTTCGTACAATCCAACGGTTATCGTAAATTAGGTTCTTGACAAAGATCAGACAAAACGCTCGTGGACTTTCAACAACGCTCAAAAACAAAAGGTGGGGGCAAGATTTCATATACTTTGAGACAGTTAGCATAAAATATCTTAATATATATGTGTGTAGTGGTGACTTAAGCCTTACTGGTGATAAATAAGTAAGGAGAGCCTATTCTCGAATAATAATTTTCAAAATCACTAAGCGAGGTTACGCCGGTCTTAATTATTTATCATAGGAATAATCTGTGACAATTTGAGGTTGTATCGTGCTTGCATTGTTTGATTAATTGTTTAATTATTTATTTTATTTATACTTGAATGATTGTGATTGATAGTCTAAGGGAATAATTTATTAATGAGAAGACAACATTGCTAGATATTAAGTATTAGATCCCCAATAACAAAAGGAAAGTTGGATACACCGAGTAGTTGTATTTGGTTAGGTTCTATCTAAGGAAAGACTTGGTCGACTATGTCAGTTACGGTCCACCTCTCTTACCTGGAAAGTTAACCATACAATTATTCATTGTACAAACTGAACTGATTATGCAAAGATAAGGATCATGCCAAGAAGAAATATGGCAAGACATTTGATAGATTTTGGCACTCAACCTAAGTATCTATATAATAAGTATAACCTGAAAGGTTGAAACGATATTTCCCCATTATTAACTTAATACTTATGGTTGAGAGTTGCCACAAGATGATTAAGTGATCATATAGACTTGCATTAAGGAATTTGTAAGTCCACTTTCGTGCGGTATAGGACGTACGAGGTTGATCGGTCGTCTATAATCCCGACGGGGATTATTATCCATGCATGCTAGGCAAGGCAAGGTTTTTGGCCTGAATTCTTATGGACAATCGACTTATAACACCTAGACTCCGTGTGAAGTTAGGTGGCGTAGCTCTTGGTAATTAGGAGTACGTTGGTGGCATGTGGTCTTGTGATATTTGATCTTGGTAAATGGGATAGATATCATTGTCAGCGTTTAATGGCTTGAGTCAGCATATAGTTCAGGGATGTATTAGAATAAATAGAAATATGATATATGTAATTATGGGTTAAAGATACGCTTGTTTGAATAATTATGGTTTTCATATATATTATTATTTTACACATTCATTCTCACTTTTAAACTTGTACATAAATCTTAACCATGTGTTCTTTTGTTTTGCATTTTGGGTTATTTTATGACTATCAGACAACGAGCTCGAATCTTACTTAATTTCCAACAGTTCAGAAGGAAAGGATATGAAGTGACATAGAAATGGGTTACTATAACATCATATCCCTACTACTACAGTCAGTATAAGTGTCAGTCTTATTGGACTTAGGAGATCCTTTTTGTTATGCTTTCTTTTAGTTTCTTTTCTGTACTTTTATTTTATGATTTATCTATGTGGCAAGGCCACTAGTCTTAACGATGTCAAGCTTTATGTAAAATATATTTGAAGCATATGTATGTGAAACAATATGTTTTTTTATTAATTAAGTCTTTTTATTTAAAAGTTTCAAATTTTTGGTATTTTTTTTAAGGGTTTCATTAGAATTTTACTAATGGGACATAGGCTGTCTCATTAATTGTCTAACGAAGAGACACTTAAATAGCTAAATGGATGAGGGCAGCATCTCTCATTGGGCTTAACTGAATGGTCCAACCCATCACAGTACATTCAAGCACAAAATCCAATCAAACAATTCATCTATTTAGTGTTTAATAACAATAAACCATAATATAATTAATTAATAATTAATTATGTCAATCCATATTTGATTAGTTATATAATTAATCTAACAATCTTTCACTTGGATGACAATAATTAATTATTAAAATATTAATCTTAATATTACATTACTAACTATGGTCAAAATCTAATCAATTAAAAGAGAAGTAATTTTCGACATTGCATAAATTGTATCTGATAGAGAGAGAAAAATCATACATGTTAAAGACTCACAAGTTATATAAAGAATGATGAATTTAGAGTAACATATTTAAGTTAAGAGAATATGTTATAAAGAATGACCCAAGCATATAAAAATGCTATTAATAAACTCTCACTAACCTAAAATATCATAAGACTTATTGATGTGTATAAGTGTGTGGTCAGTGATTTTACTAATTAGTTTCAAATTAAAGGTCATAGACTATCCACATAGGTATAAGAATAGTAATTACATATAGGAGTACTCTA